CTGACCACAGGAGAGCAAGAGGAACCATCCTCTCCTCCCCTTTGTGTCCGGCAGCAGCCAGGAATGATGGCCCTTCCCACCCCTTGTTTCTCCCCAAAGCTGTTCTGACCTTCTCCCTGTCCCCCTGCAGAGCTGCTCTCTGCCAGGCACTCCAGTTTTTCCCAGCTGTCTCCAGTAACTGGAGCCTCAGGAGACCTCCTGCCTGGGGTGCTGGCTGGGGTCAGTCCCACCCCACACAAGGCTCTGCATTGACTTTCATTCCTCGCTATGTTGGAACAATTGGAACAGCAAGCCCAGGGTGGAGGGGAGAAGGGATCTGGCTTCACAAGGTGGAGTATTTTTCCTCTGACTGACTGGACAGACTCTCTTGGACCTCAGGAACTCCAGGAAGGAGTTCTGCTGAAGCAGGGACATTCCTACAGAGAACAAATCAGCACTTTCTATTTGAAACGCATTTGATGGAAACATTTCCAACCAGCAGTTCAGATTTCCAGACCAGTGATGCTGCTGATCAGGTGTTTAACCTGCCTGCACTGACCATGGGGAGGGGCACCAGGGAGCACTCACCTGCTGCACACACTGCTGGGCCAAGGCTCTGCCTCCTTCCTGGAGCTGCTCAGAGCTCTAGAAAAGGGAGAGGAGGATCAGCCACCTACTGACCCAGCTTGCATTCCTAAAGAGGAGGAGAGCATTAACCACGACACAGACTTTACCAGCTGCAGGCTGGGGCCTGCACAGCTCAGCCAGGTGGTGAACTGGAATCTGACCATTAAGCTTTTCAGAGGTGTTAATTATTTGCCATATACTTGAATGTATGAGCTTATTTATTTTTTACATGTGCATTTGCTAATGTCCTTTTAATGGGAATTTCCAACCCACAGGTACTTTTTTTTTTCTAAAAAATAATCTGCCAAATGAATTAATATATTAGAATTGAATATAGCTCAAGGAGGAGGTTGTGCTTAATAAATATTTGTGTCTAAGCTTCAGTGACATAAAGTCATTTCCATTATTTCCTGGCCAGCCTGCCTGCTTTGCCAACATCAAAGCTACTGCTGGCCCTCTGGACTGGGGTGGGGGGTGATCCTGGGGGGATCTCCTGCAGCACCAGGTGTAAGAGTTTAAGAAAAGGGTGTGTGCACCCACCTACATGTCCCTTCAGGAGCACAGAGGTCTCAGGCAGCAGCCACCATCCCCACCTCTGCCTGCCCTCAGCATTCCCTGCCCAGGGACACAGCCAAGCCCAGAAGTTACCAGGACAACAGGGCAGACACATGGTCCCATAGTGGCCAAGAGCAGTGGCCAAGATGCTTTTCTCAGTTGCCTGAGCCCTCCTCTAGGAACATGGCCCAGCTGTTCCTTTCAGGCCCTGCCTATGGCTCCAGCTCAGCCCTGTCTCAGTGCCTGGCCCAAAACCTGGGTCTCGTTTCCCTGGCAGCAGGTGCCAGAGGGAAGGGCAGTGAGTGCTCCCAAAGCCCTGGCATCTCCTGGAGTGAGATCCTCACAAGGCTCTGGGCAGCAGAGCTCCCATTCCAACAGAGCAGCTGTTGGACTGTGCCAGCAAGCAGGCCTCAGAGAGCAGGTTTTGGCTGCTGAGCCCTGTAAGGATAAAGCCAAGTCACAGCTGGTCTTCCCACGCCTGGCTCACGTGTGCTGGCCCCTGCCAGGCCTGAGCACAGATTAATGAAGAGCCACCAGCTCATTCTTATCAGGCCTGCTCACATCTCAGTGCTGCACAGAAGCAGCTCTGCACTGGCAGTCCTGTGTGTGAGACCTGGGGACAGAACCTGGCCCTCAGGTACACACAGGAGAGAGGCTTGGAGTCCTAGGAACAGGTGAAAACCGAGTGAGTGAGTGAGTGAGTGAGTGAGTGAGTGAGTGAGTGAGTGAGTGAGTGAGTGAGTGAGTGAGTTTGTGGGGGAGGGGAGGGCTCACCTGTGGTCTCTGTCCTTAGCAGCTGGAAGGGAGAACACACTCAGCAGTCCATGGTCTCTCTCTCTCAGAGCACCTATCAAACAGGAGAACCCCAGTGAGCAGGAGGAACTGACTACAACATCATCACAGCAGCTCATGCCCTGCCTTGGTTGCTGCTCTGCTGTACCCACAGCAGCAGACAGCAGCTCATCCTCTGCCCAACAGCACTGTGCCCATCCCCTCCTTGCTTACCAGGGACCTCCTCTAGCCCCCCATAACACCAGTAACCCCCACAGCCAACAGACAAGACCCTCTGAGTCCCACACAGGCCTGATTAACTCCAGAACTTGGCTGCACTACAAAAGGAGGATTTGCTCAAAGAGGCAGAGAACAAGAGACAAAAGTGTTTGTCACTTTGCAGAAAAGCTCTCATGGGACAGGATTCAGGAACAGGCTCCAGCCCTTGACAGCCACAGTGAAATGCTTCAAGAGATATGAATACAGTTTGTTTCCTGCCCATCCTGCAAATGCTGCTTTACCCCCTGTGAAATCACAGCAGAGACTCACCCTGTTTGGCTGCTCCTTCAGTCCCCTCCTCTGTCCTGCTGCACCAGACCTGCCCTGTGCTTCTTTTCCCATCGTGACACAGCTCCAGCTCAGGAGAAAGGCTGCTCCTCTTCTTCCCACTCCCTCCTCACCTTTGGCAGGTCTGCCAGGCTCCTCCTAGACAAAGCCTGTTCCCCTCTGTCCTCTTTCAAGGACACACTTCCCTGTGACACAACATGTAGCAGAAAAAACTCACTTCAAAGACAAGCACAAAATTCCCTTTTTGCCTGCAATCCACCAGCAGCACAAGGTTCAGTGCTCTATGCAGATCCCCCCCCTGCTGCAGCCCCTTCACAGGCCACAGCTCCACACCAGCACCTCACCCTGAAGATCTGCCCCCACTCCCTGTGTCCTGCTCCTCCTGCTCTGCCCATGATGTTGGACTGAGCCTCCAGAGCAGCAGCAGAATTACACCAGCCCCCACTGTCCTACCTCTGGAGCACCCAGTGCCAGAGGCTGCTGACTCCAGGAACACTAACATAACATCCAGCACTGACAGATTTTGCTCCAGTTTTCACTGTAACACAACAAAAACGAGCACCCTCTTTCTGTAGGTGGAGCACAGCAACAGGTAAGGAAAACACTTAAATAAAAGTCAGATTCTAAAGGAGCTGTTTCCAAGGCAACAGACCCTGCAACAGCTGCTCTGTTCCACCCCATCAAATGCCATGGAAGCAGAATGCTGATCTTCAGTTGAAAGGTAATAAAACAACCCCTGTTCCAGCAGAGTGCTGATACATGCCAGCAACCCACAGCAGGGTGAGCGGGCAGCAATGTTCCCAGTCTCCTGAATCTCTCCAGCAGCCAGTTGTTCATGATCTGAACACACAAAAGCTGGCTGATATTCCTCCCCTGAAGGCTGTTCCATCACTCTGAACTCACATCCCAGAGGAAACCATGGCTGCTTTCCTGTTGCTCTGATCCATGCCTATAATACAACATGTATAAAACTCCTATGAACACTCCAGATGAACAAAGTCATTAATACTCATCAACACATGCAGTGCCCTCACTGAATACTTGGCTGATTAAGGACCCTGAGCACCTGGACAGGCTTGGCTGAAAGAACTGAGCTTGTTCAGCCCAGAGACTCACCCCAGGCTAAGAAGGAATTTACTGTTTTCTTTTTTGAGAGGGAGCAGGGAACAGAGACAGGCTCTCCTCAGAAGTGCACAGTGCTTGGAAGGAAGGCAATGGGTGCAGGCTGAAACACAGGACATTTCAGTTAGGGGCTCCCTTTTTCATTATGGGACTGGTCAAACACCAGAACAGGGTCCAAGAAGATTAGGAGATCTTCATCCTCAGAGATATTCAAGCCTAGACCCTGACCATTCTGTTCTGAGCAAAGGGGATTGGACTAGAAACCTCCAGAGGTCTTTTCCAACCTGAATTATTCTTCAACTGCAAGTTTAAAACCATAACAAGGCAGATACTTCACTGTACTTCAGGCTAATAGACCTTGAGAGAAGTTAAACTTCTGGGCAGGCAGGGGAAGTCAGCCCAAGAGTGCAGCAGCAACACCCCACTGCCTGATTCACCCCCTGAACATGACATGCTGGTAAACACGTTTTTAATTTATTACATTACTATTTTTTTTCTTCTAACCGATCTTGACATACAGCAGTAAGATTAAAAAGCACCTCAGTATCTGTCAAGCAACTCTAAAGACAACCTTCTACGTGCTCCACTTCTCTCCAACATGCTCCACAAAGATCAGTTGTGCCTTCAGGCCCATCCTGCCCCTCACCAACCAGCAAGGTGCATCAGCCCAACAGCAGGGAGCCACTCACAGACTCATCAACCCGACTGGGATTCCCAGGAGCGGGGCTGACACTGTCACCCACCAGCACCAGAGACTCAGCCCTGATGCAAGGGACAGAG